AATATATTTGAAAAATTAAAATTAAGTTACAAATTGAACTTCCATTCTATAAAGGAAAAAACTTATTATATCTACATCCCAATATATTAATATTCAAATGTGTACCAACGTTTCAGCCATCCCCAGTGCTGAATACGAAAGTTCCGGAACACGTCTAAATAAATATAATATAAAATGAAAATCATGACAATTAAGATTCAGTAAATTATACCTTAAAACACATGTAACAATAAACAAAATAATACTTGCTTGTTCAAGGTGTGTTATTTAAACGACCAAAACATGGTTGTAATAAAAAATAAAAAAAAATGTGGAAACTTCATACGGTTTTGGAAATATGGGAATTTAAATAATGTTATTAAAATTGCGCAATCACCAAATATGTTTTTGTTTTTTCGTTATTTAAAGATAATAAAAAATTAACATAAGTTATTTAAAACTTTAATCAGTAACTTTTATGGGTTTCCATTTCGAGTATTAGTTTTTTATTGAGATTCTTTTAAATTTGATTTCCTACATATCCCCTAATACGTTGAAGTTGATGGAAGAATTAAAATATACGTTGGAGGAACAGTGGAGATTTATTAAGGAAATTTATGTTCTCATGTTCATGTAATTAATTTGACCATCTAAAGCAGAAGTTCTCAAACCGTTTGAGTTGCGAAGCACTTACGGGCCAAAAAAATATTGCGGCACCCCTTTCGGGCTTAAGAAAAATTCTCGACTAAACTGGTAGGACCAAAAAAAAAAAAAAAAAAAATCATAGCATAGTTTAAAATGTTATTATAATAGAATCTTTACCCATTTTTTTTTTTTTGTAGTAAAATACGTACATATCTGTGCCCCTGTAGTAAAGGACACCATGTCTTTTTTTTTTTATTAAATAAATTAACACCTAAGAAATAAATTTTAATACCTGAATATCACAGGCAGATCTAGGGGAGGGGGAGAGGGTCTTTCGGGCTGAAGCCCCTCTCCCATTCCTCCAAAATGGTAAAATATAACCATGTTTTACTGAAAAAAATATTAAAAACTATCTCTTAAAGTATTCTTCTTCGTGTAATAACATTTAATAAGACTTCAAGAACCACTTAAACACCATTTCATATAGATAGTCAATTTTTTTTCAAATTAATTATTGTTATATATATATGAAAAAAAAAAACTTTAGGGCTGAAGCCCTCCTCTCCCCCCCCCCACAAAATTAAATCCTGGGTTCGCTAGTGCTGAATATAACATGGTTTCCTACACCTCTGGGGTACGTATTAATTAAGTAATAATCAAATTTTAATAGTTCAAATTTATAGATAATTAGTTCTCCTGAACGAATGCAAAAATGTGACATTGTATCTTTTATCCCGAGGAAACAGATATTAACCAAATACAATTTCACCCTGATATGATAAATTTTAAAGGTTTTTGTTATTTATAAATTTATAAATATAAAATTATTAATTACAGAATGTATATTTACAAATTTGACAATTTGGATATCAAATATTTGAATTATATTTTATTGCCATGATACTCTTGGGTGCCAGGTCATCCATTTTATGAATCCCTCCTCTAAAAATTACAGGTCATTAACATTTTACAACACACATTAGAGGTGACGAATTTATTTTAATAATAATTAAACAATTGTTATTGTAAAATGTATAATAACTATATTAATTTAAAAACATTGGTCAATAACTTAAAATAAGTTTCGAGTGATTTGCAAGAAGAAATGATTTTTAAAGTTTTATTTTTCATGATTGCCTTTTTTTGAAAGTATGAAGAACTAATACGTCTTTAAGTTTTTAAAAAAAGTACCTTTGTTTATTTTAATATTAAATCCTAACATCTTTTATTAAATAATTAGCTGCGAAATCCTAATTCTTCAAATATTCGCTAATAATTAATATTTTTTTAAATAATTATTTGTATAATTTATTACCGACTTCTGATTTTTTTTATATTTTTCTAAAAATGAACTTATTAAAATTCAGTGTTTTACAATAACATTGTACACAACAATGTATTCATACATTTTTTGAATGATGAATGAAAGTACCTACTGGAAAACATTCGTCGCAAAGTCCCCTCTGTAAGCTTGATATATTACTTTCTTCCTCGAATGATCTCACTCTGTTATGAAGGGTAATGTGCTCAATCAGGGAATGCTATAAGCGGATGGACATCATTTATCTACTTTTTTTGACTTGTTTTTCTCCCTTAATATATGAGATATTATACCCTTTACTACTAATTTATTACTTTTTTATGTTATTTTAATTACCATGTATAAACAATTATAGGGGGAAAAAAAGAAAAAAAAAGACAAGAAGTCATGTGTAAAATGACATTATTCATTTATTTTTTTTTAGAAAATAAAATAAATACTTTACAAATCATTAAATATATCATTAATTAAATTCTTATGAATTTCCTATCTAAATTTGAAATGCGGTTATTTGGTTTGTTATTGTTGAATTTTAAATAATTTGTGTATTTCTTTTTCAACATGTTCCGTCTCTAGTATTTTAAAAATTTAAATATAATTGTATTAAGAGGAAGGGTCTACAAAAGAAGTAAAATGTACTCATGATTAAGGTATAAATGTCTAAGCGAAATTTATTTTCAAATAAAAAGAAAACAAACATTTATTTACTATAACTATAAACTTTATCAAAAGATCAATTTCAAGAGGTCATATTTTTTATGAACGTATTTTTTTCTATTTGGAAAATTATACAGCTTTATAATTTGATTTTTTTTTTTTAAATTCATTTAGAACTTCTTCCTATTCAGCAGAAACATTATGTTAAACAACAGGAGTACCGAAGAATAAAATATTCTAAAGTTAAATATATATGAGTAATGATACATAACTGATGGCTTTATTCTTTATGACTCGAGAGAAGAGTGTTGAACTAAAAACTCCATTAACATCTCCTCTCCTATCCTAGCTTGTACATGGAGATTTACTTAACGCCTAATGTACTCGAACTAGAACAGCAGGCTATCAAACCATGCTTGTCACAGTGGAAAGGTCCAAATTTATTCTAAGAGTTCACTACGAAACAAAAACATCAGTTCCGAGCCCAGAATTGAAACTCTCACTGCTATACTGCTCTCTACTGTCATGCCACCGAACACACTTGGCCACAGCGACTGCTACTAAACGAAATTACACTTGCGCACTATCACAACAGTTCTTGAAAAGTGTCCCACAGCAAATAATAGTGTTGTTTAGGTCGTCACCATTTGAAACTTGTTCAAAAGAAAGATGGTTGTTATTCGAGCACACTTGCCATGTAAACCCATAGTATTCAATATTAGTAGTCCGTAGTACCCCATTATATTAGTAATACCCCATATATTATAATATTAGTAGTACACCATTTTAGTAAATTATTAACGTCCGGCTGAAACTTCGTATATAGCTTCAGCTCATCGCAACCTACAAATATTTTGTTTACGAAAATTCTCGGAATTGGGGCGTTTTCAATCTGGAGGTCGGCAAACTTTGTTTATTTAATTAGGGACTAAAAAATCGTAAATGCCCATTTACTTTCCAATTGAATAATAAGACATCTTCCACACAAACATGGAAAAAAGGTGACCTTCAAAAATATTGAGCCGTTTTGCGTGACCTACACCTCCAAATTGCCAAAATAACGAGGTTATATAGGCCAAAACGGCCCAATATTGTTGTAGGCCACCTTTTTTATTGATTTTGTGATCAAATTATCTTACGGACCAATTGGAAAGCAAATAGGTATTTACGAGTTTTTTTAGTACCTAATTAAATAGAATTATGCCGACCTCCAAATTGAAAACGCCCCAACTCCGAGAATTTTCCTTAATAAAATATTTGTAGGTTTTGATGAGTTGAAGCTATTTACGAAGCCGGATGTTCATAATTTTCTAAAAAGGGGTCTGTACCATGGACTATAGTTCTTTAGAAAAAAAAAAGTTGTTCATAATAACTAGTGAGAATTTTTAAAATTTATCAAAAGATGTAAATAGATTTTCAATTGTTGAACTTGGTATTAAAACCTGGTCTCCTAGATCAGCTTTTGAAAAATTTCTCTGTCTAATAAAGATCCCATACAGTTCATTATTTCCAATTTTTTTCGTCTTCTACATTTTACCGCCAAACCACATGAATTCATTTCTTCTTCGTTTTTATGCTAAGTGATGGAGTTCTGTTTTATTTTATTTTATTTTTTAATTAGAATGATTATAATTCGAGCCGAGACATCATCAATACAAGCAATTTTAAAGTTTTGAAATGTTTTTATAGCTACCAAAATAATTCACGTTTGGGCTCCTTTAACCCATCGATTTAGACTAAGATTAAGATGTACAGTGCGTTGGAGCATCGATGTGCATAAACTACCAATACGGTTGATCAACCGACAGTTCAATATGGTTGTCTATCATCAGTTAAAAAATTGGTTGAGGTTACATTCGGTGAGGTTGCCTTAGGCTTTGCTTATAATAATTTATTTTAAGTTGTTTAATCTTTGTGTTGATTCAATATGAGGGGCAAGTTGTGACTAAAGCTTGCAATTTTAAGCTTACCTCACCTTTTACGTAGTAGACCAACACTACAACAAGCACTTCATTATAGTTAGTTGAATGTTGAGCCCCACCCTCAAAATATATAACTTCAACATCATTTTCAACAATGCCCTCCATCAACCATGTTGATCGCTTAGTAAATAAGTTTTAATTTGGTTATATTAGGTTAATAAATTATTGATAATTACACCTTCTTGCTCTGTTTGAAATACATGACGGCGTTGAACACTAAAAAGGAGAGCACAATTGCATTTCTTGATTTCTTTTACTACAAAAAAAAAAATTACTCTATTGGATGTTTTAATTTCTAAGTGATTTCACGTTATATCATTTTTACGTTTGGAAGGGGAGGGGCGGGTAAGCACCTTACTAAGGTGTTTTTATCGACTATACCCACATGGGAATGATATTTGTTCCCGTTGGAAATACGGAAAATGAGGTTTTTTTTAATATTATACGTCAAAATACTGGGTTTATTTACCACAATGTAAAAAATAATATATTTGTAGTAACCTTATGATTATATTTTTAATGAAAATTTACATATGTTTAAAAAATATCACTTACATAATTGATTAGAATCAACCTTTCCCATTAATGATATTATCATAACAATTTCAAAATTTCTATTGGATCAAATTTCAAGGCATGGCGGTCAGTTTACGACACTACAGATTTATAAAACAGCAATATATTTCTCAGGTAAGGCACCTCAGTTGTGGAGGTGAAAGCGGGGACTTGACTGGACTTGTTTTAGGAGTATATAATGAAGATGCCGATCTCCACGGTCAGGAAAGAACCTTTACCAAAACGTTTACCGAGTTCGATCAGAAGCTAGAAGGAAAATTAGCAGAATTACTCAGACTATCAGGCCCTGTACCAAAGAGAGGAGAAACGAGGATATTTTATGGCCTCGATCCTAAATTTAATGCAATAGTTGTGGTTGGTATGGGAGACGAGTGTCAAGGGTTCTGCGAGAGAGAACAAATGGACGAGTGGAAAGAGGGTATAAGAATGGGAGCTGGCTATGGTGTGAGGGCTTTACAGAAGTTACATTCAAGGAATGTATTTGTTGAAAGTTTTGGTCACGCTGAATCAGCAGCAGAAGGGGCAGCTTTAGGGGTTTGGCTCTTCCAAGAGCTGAAGAACAGTTCGAAGCAAAAGTTCATTCCAAGGCTCGAGCTCTTCGAAGACTGTGATTATACTGGTTGGCAAATCGGTTTACAAAAGGCTGCAGCTCAGAATTTATCAAGACAATTGTGTGAAACACCAGCTAATCTATTGACACCTATATCATTCGCTCAGTCAGCAGTTGAAATATTGAGTAAAGCGGGAGTGAACGTGGAAGTGAAGGTTAGAAATTGGTCTAAAATAATGCAGATGGAAGCATTTCTAGCAGCAGCAAGAGGTTCTTGTGAACCACCAATATTCTTAGAAACAAGTTATTATGGTTGTGAACCCGATGTGGCGCCCATAATTTTAGTTGGAAAAGGAGTGACATTCGACAGTGGTGGCCTGTGTTTGAAGGATTGTGGTGATATGAAGCATATGAGAGGTGACATGGCAGGTGCAGCTGTTGTGGTAGGAGTTTGCCGAGCAGTATCTGCTCTTCAACTTCCAATTAACATCAGAGGATTACTCCCGTTATATGAAAATCTGCCGGGAACGTGTGCTATGAAACCAGGGGACATAATACGAGCTAAGAATGGGAAATCGATTTTAGTCGAAAACACTGATTTCGATGGGAGGATATCGCTTACAGATGCGCTGTCGTATTCAGTCCAGTTCAATCCCAAATTCGTAGTCGATATAGGCACACTTTGCCCAGAAATGCAAGAGCTAATGGGAGCTGCAGCCTGCGGGGCGTTCTCCAACAACGATGAACTTTACGAAATGATGAGGATTGCCAGCATCCATACAGGTGATAGGGTCTGGCGAATGCCTTTATGGAAGCACTACAAGGAAAAGGTGACACTCCATCCTACGGCTGATGTTAGGGATGAGTACAGATCTGCTGGCGCTCCATGTACCTGCGCAGCCTTCCTGAGAGAGTTTGTCCCTCCAGTGGATTGGATCCACCTTGAAACCTACGGAGTAAACTTATCTGATGGTTACACCTGGTCATACTTGAGAAAAGGCATGTCAGGGCGTCCGACGAGAACTGTTGTGGAGTTTTTAGCACAGCTAGCCTGCAAACATGATACTGTTGAAAGAGCGGCCGAGAAAGCGCCTTAGTTAGTTTTGTTACTGTGAATGTCAGCCATGTATTGTGTTGGTATTGAGTCCTTCCCCTTGTGGTGTGCAAATAAATATTGATGTTCATTCTTTGCTATTTATTGTTTCTAAAACTTTTATTCGTTAAATTAAATAAAAGTTTACGTTGTGTTTATTTACAAATTTTTATTTTTAAATATTAGATATGAAAAAATATACCGTCAAAGTACTCAAACACTATACTCCCTACTAACCCCCTCAATGAAAATCTAATATTATCCTATTTGTGATATAGATTTGGGCGTTGTTGTTAAGATACACCATAGTGATATAACCTGACCTAATAGAGGTTACCTTACAGAAATCTATGCCAAAGCAATTTTAAAATTTGTTGTTGATAATTGTTCTTTAAGGTGTTAAGGCATTTAGCTTCAGAAAAGAATTTAAAGGTGAAGGTTTCATTATATTTTATATTTTAGATAACAGACTAGCGACTAATGGCAGGTAATAAAGCTTAACCATAGATTAGATACTCTAAAAGGATACCCTCGAGCTAAGTGAGTGGAGAATGGCGATTTATTTAATTTATTTTGATTTTGGTTTTATGTTAACTAAAACTCTAAATATAACCAAACAGTAGAATAATACGAAAACAACAATTTTTATATGTTTTTTTTTCAAAACCAGATTTCGACATTTCAAAGAAACAGGATGCTTAGACATTTATGTTTTTTCTTAAAAAAAACGAACATGGCGGACGTGAAAGCTATTTCGGTGATCGAATTTGTCTTAACCTATTAGGATTATAAAATAAATCAAAATTTTTAACGCTTTTATTTTAAATGTTAATGAGTATGGTCCAACAATAGCAACTTACTTCTTATCTTACAATTGCAGAAATTAGTCACTTAGAAATTTAGGGTTCGCCTTAATAACTTAACTGGTAAAATAATATCTCGTTATTCTATTCTGACATCTATCAAAATAAAACCTAACCTAAAATAAAATAAAACTAACCTTCACAGAGCAGTAAAGACAAATATTTCGTATTAAAAAATTATATATTTAATAGTAAAATCGGTAATAAATTGAGAATGTGGGAAACTATTCACATTCTACATATAAAAAAATAAACATGAACAATTACGTATGTCTGTTTACTTTCTCGCTCATGAAGGTAGAAAAGCTTTGTATCTAGCCGTTGTTGGCTTCGTGGTTTTTGAGTCATATTGAATATTTAATAGTTGACCGTTGCATTATAAAGGAAGGAGATGGTCCGGGGTAGCGGTCATAAATAGGCTAAATAGTGGTAATACTATTTTTATTAAAAGCCGACGTTTCGAGCGGTCGGTAACTCGTGCCTAGGAAAAAAGGAAACTAAGATTAACAAACCGTGGTTTGATGAAGATTGCTTAAACATGTGCGAAAAAAGAAAAGCCGCTAAATTAAAAGCTCTAAATAATCCTAGCGAAGACAATCTGCAATACTTCCGAATCTCAAAGAACGAAACGACAAAATTGCTCAAAAATAAAAAAAGGGATTATCTTAAAGATAAAATAATTGAAATAGAAACTAATAGAATCGAAAATAACGTAAGAGACATGTACAGAGGTATAAACAAATCACGTAAATATGTAAGGTCCGTGACGTCTGGAATTAGGGATGATAATAACAATATTCTGACCGATCCGGTTGACATATTGAATAAGTTTAAGGACCACTTTGACAATATTTTAAATACGGGAAATTATGATCTGTCTCCTCTTTCTGAGTACCAGAGTGTTGAACCGTTAATAGAAGGACCAAGTAAAGAGGAAGTTGAAGTAGCTATCGGAAAATTAAAATCATATAAAGCAGCGGGAATCGATAATATTCCTACTGAACTAATTAAGGCATGCGGGGATGCTGGAGTTTCTAAAATACATCGGTTGGTTAAAAAGATCTGGGTGAACAAGAAATTACCTGAAGAATGGAAAGAATCTATTCTTATTCCGATTCACTAAAAGGGTCCGAGGACGGATTGTAATAACTGTCGAGAAATTTCACTCCTTCCGATATGTTATAAAATATTCACTTCAATCTTAACCAGTCGAATCACGGAATACGCCGAGGAAATTATCGGAGACTACCAATGCGGATTTAGACGGAATCGTTCGACTATTGATCAAATATTTTCTTTACGGCAAATATTAGAGAAAAAATTGGAGTATAACGGAATTGTTCACCAGCTGTATATAGATTTTAAAAAGGCTTACGATTCTATTGACCGCCAGAAACTGTATAATATTCTAATTGAGCAGAGGATTCCAAAAAAAATAGTAAATCTAGTCAGAATGTGCTTGACGGAGACACTCAATAAAGTTAGAATCGGTAATAATTTGTCCGAAAAATTTGAGGTTCGTTCGGGCTTAAAACAGGGGGATTCTCTTTCGCCTGTCCTGTTCAATTTGGCATTAGAACATGCCATTAGGGAGGTAATGCGAACCGAGAAAGGGTTGGATCTGGGAGGGACAACATCCGTGCTGGGCTATGCTGACGATCTGGTACTGTTAAGCGAAGACGTTGAAACTATAAAACTAAATACGACAACGTTAATGAAAGCCGGGAAAGAACTAGGACTCGAAATAAATGTGGATAAACAAAATATATGGTTAGCTGCAAAAATGGCGATACTACTGGTGATATCGATATAGATGGTAATATGTTTGAACAGGTAGATAAATTTAGGTATCTAGGTTCAACGATAACTAGAAAAAACGAAATTGAAGAAGAGATTAAGGTTAGACTGAAGGCGGGAAATGCTTTTTATTTTTCTTTGACAAATCTACTTAGTTCGCGCCTCTTGTCCCGGAACTTAAAAATAAGAATCTATAAAACAATGATCTTGCAGTTCATAGATTGCAATAGGTTCATTGCAGTTAAAACAGTTCTTTATGGATGCGAAACTTCGCCGCTTACATTAAGGGATGAGCAGCGTCTTAAGGTTTTTGAAAATAAAGTATTGCGTAGAATATTCGGACCGAAGAAGGATGAGTTAACCGGAGAGTTCAGACGGTTACACAATGCCGAATCGCGTGAGCTGTATCCGGGTAATATAATTGATGTAATTTCATCGCGGCGAATCAAATGGGCTTGTAAAGTTGTTGGGCTTAGTAACGAGAGAATTCCTAAAAGGTTAATATTTGCTGTGCCGAATGGTAAGCGTCCGAGGGGTAGACCGAAGCGAAGGTGGGAAGATTGCATTAAAGCCGATCTGAAGGGACTGGGTTTGGACGGCGAACGGTGGAGGGAGGTGTGTAACAAGCGATTGGTTTTGTCGGCATCGAACCTTCGGGTTCGCTAAGCCTTATTATTATTATTAAATCAATAAATTAACATTCTACTAACAGAAATGTTACCTCCTTCCCTTTCTGACTATGTTTAGCTACCTTTTGCTATCTGAAAAAGGACAACTGGGAAATCCTCTACCATATGTGACATTACATGAAAGCCTTCAGTGCTCGAACCACGGTTAGTTAGAGAAAATATTACAAATTTTTATAAATAGATCATATATATGTATTATTTTTAGTGTGTATAACTTTTTACATATTTCATTTGTAATATTGTGTATTGTAATAATAGTTAAGATTCATGTACCATCAATCACTATAGTTTATTATTTACCATTATCGGTCGTATAATATTATATCTCTGACTGTATTTTAAAATTTTCAGCTCTGGAGATAACCCACATGTTTGGGTTGAAACGTTGGCACAAATAAAAACTTTTTTTTTTAATTTTTTTTTTTTTTACTGCGTCCTGCATATTTATCGACTTTGCATGTCTTCTTTGGGGAGGTGTGTTCAGCTAGAAGTTTCACTTAGAACTTTAGTTTTAAGTGAAACTCTTAGCTGAACACACCTCCCTGAACAAGATCTGCAAAGTTGGGTCGAAACGTCGGCTTTTAATAAAAATATTTTTACAACTATTTATCTTATTTATGACCGCCACCCCGGAACATCTCCTTACTTTATAATGCAACGGTCAACTATTAAATATTCAGTAGAAAAGCTTTATATTCGTAGAAGAAGTAAAAAAGAATGTTTATACTCAAAATAAAAATTTCCACTCGCGTTTTACGTTTCAGACATCAAGGATCAAATTCGGCTCGGTGGTTATCTGTCTGTAGTCAAATCGATGTAACGGACATATCTCCTACTGCTGTTTAACTGATTCTTATGAAATTTTCTAGGATCGTGCGTGTTGATACCCAGCTGACCCATATCAAGTTACCACATTCCATCTATGACTTCCGTTAACGCACGCGCAAAAGTATTTTTTTATACATACCAATATATCAGAAACGGTTCGTTCAATCGGCTCAAAGCTGGACGAAATTTAGATATTACTAAGTGTGTATGATGTATTGTAAATTGTATTGAATTCCGCCCACTACATTTTCTTACATATGGAAAAACATGTTTTCCTTGATACGTTAATGTCTCTAAAACCACACGATCGATTTGTCTCAAATCTGGAGGGTAGTTAGGGTTTGATTGACAGATGATCAAGTGTGTATCAATTTTATCAAATTCCAACTACTGCTTTCAAAAAATACTTCCGCTTTCAGACCAGCAAACGTTTCATTACACGCCCATAGTTTGAAAACAGCTGGTTCGATTTGATTCAGTAATAAAGGAAATTTATAGAAATTACCTATTTTCATTTCCATTGAATTCCATTTAAAAATTAAAATAACTGTTAAGAATATAATGTTTGTAGAATGTGGAGAGTCATTAATCTTATGGAATGGGATGTCAGATTAACACAATTTTTTAAACTATATTTTGATTCTTCTAATTTTATTTATTTTATTTTTTATTTGTTCTCCACATCCCTTTATGTCCATTATTTCATATTATATCATTTTTCCTTTTCTTCCAATCTCTCCTGTAGATCTGTAGGATGGAGTATATTTACAACTTCTGTTTAGGATTCCTTCTATTTTTCCAACTTCTATTTTTTTACACTTCTGTTTAGGATTCTGTTTATATTTTAATGTACTTACTATTTATAATTTTAATAAGTTTATTCACATTGTTTATAATTTTTTATCTAATTATTATGTAACTTTCACAATACTTTATATCTTTTTTTATCTTGTCCGTTCTAGCCCTGAAGAAGACCTGCAA